AAATGAAGACACGGTACTGTGGCTTACATCTCTGTCTATGGCAGATATGAAGATGAGGAACAGGATGGGGGCGAGTACTGTGCCTTGTGGAACAGAGATTTTTACTGTAGTCGCCTCAGACTTTACTCTGTGTACTACTACTCTTTGTGTTCTATTTGTTATAAAGTTATAGATCCATCTACCAACTTTTCCTGTTATTCCTTTATCACGCATTTTGCGCACTGTTATGCCATGGTCACACTTGTCGAAGGCAGAGTCTGTGTATACTACATTTGCATTTTTTTTTGTCTTCTAGATCATCCAGGACCTTGTCATAGTGGTCCAGTAGTTGAGACAGACAGGAGCGACCTGCTCTAAACAAATGTTGCCCTGGGTTGTGTAACTGATGAGTATCTAGATGAGTAGTGATCTTGGTTCTTCGGACCCTTTCAAAGATTTTTATGATATGGGATGTTAGTGCTATCTGTCAGTAGTTCTTTGCTATTGCTTTACTGCCACCTTTGTGCAGTGGGACTACAGTACAACATGAGCCATGTACACACACAGCACACTACAACATGAACCATGTACACACACAGCACACTACAACATGAACCATGTACACACACAGCACACTACAACATGAACCATGTACACACACAGCACACTACAACATGAACCATGTACACACACAGCACACTACAACATGAACCATGTACACACACACACACTACACAACATAACCATGTACACACACAGCACACTACAACATGACCATGTACACAGCACACTACAACAAAACCATGTACACACACAGCACACTACAACATGAACCATGTACACACAAGCACACACAACATGAACCATGTACACACACAGCACACTACAACATGAACCAGTACAACACAGCACACTACAACATGAACCATGTACACACACAGCACACTACAACATGAACCATGTACACACACAGCACACTACAACATGAACCATGTACACAGCACACTACAACATGAACCATGTACAACAGCACACTACAACATGAACCATGTACACAGCACACCACAACATGAACCATGTACACACACAGCACACTACAACATGAACCAGTACACAGCACACTACAACATGAACCATGTACACACACAGCACACTACAACATGAACCATGTAACACAGCACACTACAACATGAACCATGTACACAGCACACACAACATGAACCATGTACACAGCACACTACAACATGAACCATGTACACAGCACACTACAACATGAACCATGTACACAGCACACTACAACATGAACCATGTACACAGCACACTACAACATGAACCATGTACACACACAGCACACTACAACATGAACCATGTACACAGCACACCACAACATGAACCATGTACACAGCACACTACAACATGAACCATGTACACAGCACACTACAACATGAACCATGTACACACACAGCACACTACAACATGAACCATGTACACACACAGCACACTACAACATGAACCATGTACACAGCACACTACAACATGAACCATGTACACACACAGCACACTACAACATGAACCATGTACACAGCACACTACAACATGAACCATGTACACAGCACACTACAACATGAACCATGTACACAGCACACTACAACATGAACCATGTCCCACAGCACACTACAACATGAACCATGTACACAGCACACTACAACATGAACCATGTACACACACAGCACACTACAACATGAACCATGTACACACACGGCACACTACAACATGAACATGTACACACACAGCACACCACAACATGAACCATGTACACACACAGCACACTACAACATGAACCATGTACACACACAGCACACTACAACATGAACCATGTACACAGCACACACAACATGAACCATGTACACACACAGCACACTACAACATGAACCATGTACACAGCACACTACAACATGAACCATGTACACAGCACACTACAACATGAACCATGTACACAGCACACCACAACATGAACCATGTACACACACAGCACACTACAACATGAACCATGTACACAGCACACTACAACATGAACCATGTACACAGCACACTACAACATGAACCATGTACACAGCACACCACAACATGAACCATGTACACACACAGCACACTACAACATGAACCATGTACACACACGGCACACTACAACATGAACCATGTACACAGCACACCACAACATGAACCATGTACACACACAGCACACTACAACATGAACCATGTACACAGCACACTACAACATGAACCATGTACACCCCACACACACTAAAACCCATGAACCATGTACACAGCACACTACAACATGAACCATGTACACACTAAACAGCACACTACAACATGAACCATGTACACAGCACACTACAACATGAACCATGTACACAGCACACTACAACATGAACCATGTACACAGCACACTACAACATGAACCATGTACACAGCACACTACAACATGAACCATGTACACACACAGCACACTACAACATGAACCATGTACACAGCACACTACAACATGAACCATGTACACAGCACACTACAACATGAACCATGTACACAGCACACTACAACATGAACCATGTACACACACAGCACACTACAACTAACAGTGAACTACACTGTACAGACACAGCACACTACAACATGAACCATGTAAAACCCCAACATGCCAACACACACATAAACATGAACCATGTACACAGCACACTACAACATGAACCATGTACACACACAGCACACTACAACATGAACCATGTACACAGCACACTACAACAATGAACCATGTACACAGCCACCACTACAACATGAACCATGTACACCACACACCTACAACATGAACCATGTACACACAGCACACTACAACATGAACCATGTACACAGCACACTCAACATGAACCATGTACACACAAGCACACTACAACATGAACCATGTACACAGCACACTACAACATGAACCATGTACACACACAGCACACCACAACATGAACCATGTACACACACACACACTACAACATGAACCATGTAACACACAACACCGCACATTACCAAACAACATGAACCATGTACACAGCACACTACAACATGAACCATGTACACACAGCACACTACAACAGAACCATGTACACAAGCACACTACAACATGAACCATGTACACACACAGCACACTACAACATGAACCATGTACACAGCACACCTACAACATGAACCATGTACACAGCACACTACAACATGAACCATGTACACAGCACACCACAACATGAACCATGTACACACACAGCACACTACAACATGAACCATGTACACAGCACACTACAACATGAACCATGTACACAGCACACCACAACATGAACCATGTACACAGCACACTACAACATGAACCATGTACACAGCACACTACAACATGAACCATGTACACACACAGCACACTACAACATGAACCATGTACACAGCACACTACAACATGAACCATGTACACACCCCGGCACACTACAACATGAACCATGTACACACACAGCACACTACAACATGAACCATGTACACACACAGCACACTACAACATGAACCATGTACACACACAGCACACTACAACATGAACCATGTACACACACAGCACACCACAACATGAACCATGTACACACACAGCACACTACAACATGAACCATGTACACACACAGCACACTACAACATGAACCATGTACACAGCACACTACAACATGAACCATGTACACACACAGCACACTACAACATGAACCATGTACACAGCACACTACAACATGAACCATGTACACAGCACACTACAACATGAACCATGTACACAGCACACTACAACATGAACCATGTACACAGCACACCACAACATGAACCATGTACACACACAGCACACTACAACATGAACCATGTACACACACAGCACACTACAACATGAACCATGTACACACACGGCACACTACAACATGAACCATGTACACACACAGCACACCACAACATGAACCATGTACACACACAGCACACTACAACATGAACCATGTACACACACAGCACACCACAACATGAACCATGTACACACAGCACACTACAACATGAAACCAGTACACACACAGCACACTACAACATGAACCATGTACACAGCACACTACAACATGAACCAGTACACACACAGCACACTACAACATGAACCATGTACACAGCACACTACAACATGAACCATGTATAACTGTACACAGCACACTACAACATGAACCATGTACACAGCACACTACAACATGAACCATGTACACACACGCACACTACAACATGAACCATGTACACAACGCACACTACAACATGAACCATGTACACACACAGCACACTACAACATGAACCATGTACACACACGCACACTACAACATGAACCATGTACACACACAGCACACTACAACATGAACCATGTACACACACAGCACACTACAACATGAACCATGTACACACACAGCACACTACAACATGAAAAAAAAACAACAACATGACATTCCAGCACACTACTAACATGAACCATGTACACACAGCACACTACAACATGAACCATGTACACAGCACACTACAACATGAACCATGTACACAGCACACTACAATATGAACCATGTACAACCAGCACACCTACAACATGAAACCATGTACACACAAGCACACATACAACATGAACCATGTACAAAAGCACACTACAACATGAACCATGTACACACACAGCACACTACAACATGAACCATGTACACACACAGCACACTACAACATGAACCATGTACACACACAGCACACTACAACATGAACCATGTACACACACAGCACACTACAACATGAACCATGTACACACACAGCACACTACAACATGAACCACGTCACACACAGCACACTACAACATGAACCATGTACACACACAGCACACTACAACATGAACCATGTCCACACACAGCACACTACAACATGAACCATGCACACAGAACACTACTCACGCTGGTTACAGAGAGGACCCTGGCTGCCTGGCGGACATCTACACTCTCCTGTCACTGGATCACAAGGTCGACCATCACACTGGCAGGACTCGACACACCCTGGCCCAAACTGGCCAGCGTCACACCCTGTGGCCACACCACCCACACCCTTCATTAACTACCTCTCTGGCTTTACACTCTGTTGTTACGCTGTTTTTGAGAGAAACCTCTTGTGTTGGTAAGTGTTGCTTGTGTTAATGGGTGTTTAACTAGGCAAGGTAAGTGCTCAGCTCCATCTTTTGATCATATGTGGAAACTCACTGTTAAAAAGTCTGATTCCAAACAGGTTCTTCAGTGTAAATCTGCTTGTAGCCAAGTGTAAGTATCAGGGGGCAGTTTAAGTGTAAATATCAGGGGGCAGTTTAAGTGTAAAATATCCGGGGGCAGTTTAAGTGTAAATATCAGGGGGCAGTTTAAGTGTAAATATCAGGGGGCAGTTTAAGTGTAAATATCAGGGGCAGTTTAAGTTTAAATATCAGGGGGAAGTTTAAGTGTAAATATCAGGGGGCAGTTTAAGTTTAAATATCAGGGGGCAGTTTAAGTGTAAATATCAGGGGCAGTTTAAGTGTAAATATCAGGGGCAGTTTAAGTGTAAATATCAGGGGGAGTTTAAGTGTAAATATCAGGGGGCAGTTTAAGTGTAAATATCAGGGGCAGTTTAAGTGTAAATATCAGGGGGCAGTTTAAGTGTAAATATCAGGGGACAGTTTAAGTGTAAATATCAGGGGGCAGTTTAAGTGTAAATATCAGGGGGCAGTTTAAGTGTAAAATATCAGGGGGCAGGTTAAGTGTAAATATCAGGGGCAGTTTAAGTGTAAATATCAGGGGCAGTTTAAGTGTAAATATCAGGGGCAGTTTAAGTGTAAATATCAGGGGGCAGTTTAAGTGTAAATATCAGGGGGACAGTTTAAGTGTAAATATCAGGGGCAGTTTAAAGTGTAAATATCAGGGGGCAGTTTAAGTGTAAATATCAGGGGGCAGTTTAAGTGTAAATATCAGGGGCAGTTTAAGTGTAAATATCAGGGGGCAGTTTAAGTGTAAATATCAGGGGGCAGTTTAAGTGTAAATATCAGGGGGCAGTTTAAGTGTAAATATCAGGGGACAGTTTAAGTGTAAATATCAGGGGGCAGTTTAAGTGTAAATATCAAGGGGCAGCTTAAGTTAATATCAGGGGAAGTTTAAGTGTAAATATCAGGGAAGTTTAAGTGTAAATATCAGGGGGAAGTTTAAGAGTAAATATCAGGGGGAAGTTTAAGTGTAAATATCAGGGGAAGTTTAAGTTAAATATCAAGGGGAAGTTTAAGTTAAATATCAGGGGGACAGTTAAATGGGAAATATAAGTTAGTGAATACAGTTGCAGTTTTAAATATCAGGGGGAAGTTTAAAGTGTAAATATCAGGGGAAGTTAAGTTTAAATATCAGGGGGAAGTTTAAGTGTAAATATCAGGGGGAAGTTTAAGTTTAAATATCAGGAGGAAGTTTAAGTGTAAATATCAGGGGGAAGTTTAAGTTTAAATATCAGGGGGGAAGTTTAAGTTTTAAATTCAGGGGGCAGATTAAATGTAAATATCAGGGGAAGTTTAAGTTTAAATATCAGGGGGGAGTTTAATGTAAATATCAGGGGGAAGTTTAAGTTTAAATATCAGGGGAAGTTTAATGTAAATATCAGGGGAAGTTTAAGTTAAATATCAGGGGGAAGTTTAAGTTTAAATATCAGGGGGAAGTTTAAGTTTTAAATATCAGGGGAAGTTTAAGTGTAAATATCAGGGGGAAGTTTAAGTTTAAATATCAGGGCGAAGTTTAAGTGTAAATATCAGGGGGAAGTTTAAGTTTAAATATCAGGGGGAAGTTTAAGTTTAAATATCAGGGGGAAGTTTAAGTGTAAATATCAGGGGAAGTTTAAGTGTTAAATTCAGGGGGAAGTTTAAGTGTAAATATCAGGGGGAAGTTTAAGTTAAATATCAGGGGGAAGTTTAAACGTAAATATCAAGGGGAAGTTCAAGTGTAAATATCAGGGGTAAGTTTAAGTTTAAATATCAGGGGGTTTAAGTTTAAATATCAGGGGGAAATTTAAGTGTAGATATCAGGGGGAAGTTTAAGTTTAAATATCAGGGGAAGTTTAAGTGTAGAAAATCAGGGGGAAGTTTAAGTTAAATATCAGGGGGAAGTTTAAGTTTAAATATCAGGGGGAAGTTTAAGTTTAAATATCAGGGGGAGGTTTAAGTGTATAATATCAGGGGGAAGTTTAAGGTAAATATCAGGGGGAAGTTTAAGTTTAAATATCAGGGGGAAGTTTAAGTGTAAATATCAGGGGGAAGTTAAGTTTAAATATCAGGGGGAAAGTTTAAGTTTAAATATCAGGGGAAGTTTAAGTTTAAATATCAGGGGGAGGTTTAAGTGTATATATCAGGGGAAAGTTTTAAGTTTAAATATCAGGGGGAAGTTTAAATGTAAATATCAGGGGGAAGTTTAAGTGTAAATATCAGGGGGAAGTTAAGTTTAATATCAGGGGGGAAGTTTAAGTTTAAATATCGGGGGAAGTTTAAGTTTAAATATCAGGGGAAGTTTAAGTTTAAATATCAGGGGGAAGTTTAAGTGAAATATCAGGGGGAATTTAAGTTTAAATATCAGGGGGAAGTTTAAGTGTAAATATCAGGGGAAGTTTAAGTTTAAATATCGGGGGGAAGTTAAGTTTAAATATCAGGGGAAGTTTAAGTGTAAATATCAGGGGAAGTTTAAGTTTAAATATCAGGGGAAGCTTTAAGTTAAATATCAGGGGGAAGTTTAAGTTTAAATATCAGGGGGAAGTTTAAGTTTAAATATCAGGGGGAAGTTTAAGTTTAAATATCAGGGGGAAGTTTAAGTTTAAATATCAGGGGGAAGTTTAAGTTTAAATATCAGGGGGAAGTTTAAGTGTAAAATAATCGTGGAGATAAAGTAGGTAAATATTCAGGGGAGTTCTATTTAGAAATCTATCAGTGGCATTAAAGTCTGAATATACAGGAAGTCTGAATTCTGCATTATCAGAAGTGAATACTTAGTGTTAATATCGGGGGGAATGTAAGTCCCGGGGAAGTTAAGTTAAAGTTCCCGGGGGAAGGGTTTTACGTTTAAATCACAGGCCCGGGAACGTCATGGGGACTTTCAAACATCGGTGCATGTAAGTTTAAATATCAGGGGGAAAGTAAGTTTAAATCAAAGTTAAGTAGAACATATCAGGGGGAAGTTTAATTTTCCCATATCAGGGGTTCTCCCAGTTTAAATATCAGTTACATACGTTTAAATTACATTACGAGTTCTAAGTTAAATTTTCAGGTGCAAGTTCTCCAGTTAAATTACGGTTTCCAGTTAATATATTCAGGGGAAGTTTAAGTTTAATTCGTCTCGAAGTTACATTTTAAGTTATCAGTTAGGAACGTTTAGTTTTAAATATCAGGGGAAGTTTAAGTTTACATTACGTCGTTTAAATTTAATTATATTCCAAATTTTAGTTTCCAAGTAACATAAGTTTCCAGTTTAAATTATTCAGGGGCAGTTTACGTTCTCCAATTCATTACGTTTCCAGTTTAATTATCCTTCAGGGTAATTAAGTCTTCAATTCAAAGTTTAAGTTATAATATCAGTTAGGACGTTTCCAGTTAATTACTTTCGGGGAGTTTTAATTATCGTTTCAGTTACAATATCTCGTGGCAGTTATAATTAAATCTTCCAGTTAAGTTTCAGTTACATTACTCTCCAGTTAATAGTTTCAAGTTAAACCTCTCCCCGTTACATTTTCAAGTTTAACGTCTCGGTCCAGTTTAACGTTTGTAATTATCCCCTCGCAAGTTTACATTAATCCTCCCCAGGTAATTAAGTCCTCTCACAGTTACATAACGTTCTCCCAGTTACATTAGTCTATCATAGCCCCCGTTAATTACGTCTTCCAGTTAATACTCCTCCAGTTAATTACGTCTTCCCAGTTATATTACGGTCTTACCATTACATTAGTCCTCATCCCAGTTACATAGTCTCTACCCAGTTACATACGTCTGTCCCTGTACATTACGTCCTCTCCATACATTGGACGTTCTCCAGTTACATTTGCCTCTCCCAGTTACATACTGCCTCTGGAAAAGAGTTACATTACGTCCTCTCCCAGTTACATTACGTCCTCTCCCAGTTACATTACGTCCTCTCCCAGTTACATTACGTCCTCTCCCAGTTACATTACGTCCTCTCCCAGTTACATTACGTCTTGAATGCCACTAGTCACAGGTGGGGACAGGCGTAGGTCAATAAGCATCAAGGAAAAGATATTTATATTTCTCTCTGTATCAATTATAATATTGGGTAATGGCTTGATAAAGCTCCTGGAGAGCGAAACGTTGCTATAATATTATTATTATAATAACCTGCAAGTATACAGTTGGTAGAATTACCGACAATATGTAAAGTAAAAGGAACAAGTGCAATATGTCACATTATCACTTGTTTCCTTTTACTTTACATATTATAACATAAGGCGCTAACACAAGTGCTATACGCTATCAGTTTTAATTTCCTCTCCCCTAATGTTTCATAAAGCAAGCAGGTGTGTGGTGAGGCACTTAATACACTGGTGATACACTTGCTAAGATACATACCAAGGGAATAAATAATTGTACTTTCCTGTATTACTGTATAATTTCCTTGTCATAAAATTTTCTGAGATAAGGTATGCTTAAGTGGGGATAAGTAACCTGTGAGGCAGGTGACAAGGAGCTTCCCAGCACGATAATAAGGTGCATCAAGGTACCTCACTTGAGGGTAGGCACTGACTGCATCAAGGTACCTCACTTGAGGGTAGGCACTGACATCAAGTACCTTCCTTGAGGAAGTACATTTGCATCGAGTACCTTACTTGAGATAGGCACTGGCCATCGAGTACCTTTCCTTGAGGATAGCACTTTAGCGTAACCTCCCTTGAGTGGTGGCATGCATCGAGGTACCTGCCTGATAGACTGCTGAGGGCAAGTAGGTCTTCCCCGGATACACTGCATAGGTTCTTGAGGGAGGCACTGCACTGGTGCGCAAGTTGGACTCCATAGGAGATAGGCATGCAATCAAGGTTACCGTATCTTGAGGGTGGCACTGCACAGTACCTTAGCATTGGGCAGGGAGCGCACGGCATACAATGCCGTACCTGCATCACTTGAGGTAGGCACCTGGCATCAACGGTCACTCACTGAGGGAGGCACTACATCAAGGTCACTCACTGAGGAGTCAGGCAACTGAGCGTCAATGTACCTTCACTTGAGGTAGCACTGGCATCAAGTACTTCACTTGAGATGATGCACTGACATCAAGTACCTTCACTGAGGGAGGCACTGCATCAGGTACCTTCACTTGAGGTAGCACTGACATCAAGGTACCTTCCACTTGAGGAGGCACTGGCATCAGGCACCTTCCTTGAGGTAGGCACTGACATCTGCAGGTACTTCCTGAGGACTGGCACTGACATCGAGGTACCTTCACTGAGGATGCGACTGCATCAGAGGTACCTTCCTATGCAGGCAGCGCACTACCTGCAGGCAATCGTGTTACACCTGCAGATGCACTACACTGCAGTGTACTCTTGCTAGGCACTGTCACTACTGGCAGCACCTGTCACTAGAGTGAAGCACTGCACTACATCGCAGAGTACTCACTGCGGCACATGGGTCACTCACTGACCTAGATCTGTTGCATAGCAGATCTGTTGGAACAGGCAGCTTGTCAGAACGGCAGCATGTACACATTGCTGTCCGTATAACCTGCAAATCACAAACTGCAGCATCTGTATACACCTGCAATCACCTGTCACTAACCTGCAGCACCTGATCACTACACCTGCTGCACCTGTCACTACACTGCAGCACCTGTCACTACACCTGCACACCTGTCACACACCTGCAGCACCTGTCACTACACCTGCTGCATCTGTCACTACACCTGCTGCACCTGTCTACACCTGCAGCACCTGTCACTACACCTGCGCACCTGTCATACACTGCATACTGTCAAACCTGCACCTGTCACCCGTACTACTACACTGCGCATCCACACCTGCTCCACTACACCTGCAGTACCTGTCTCTACACCTGCAGCACCTGTCACTACACCTGCAGTACCTGTCAATACACCTGAAGCACCTGTCACTACACCTGCAGTACCTGTCACTACACCTGCAGCACCTGTCACTACACCTGCAGCACCCTGCACACTACACACCTGCAGTACCTGTCACTACACCTGCAGCACCTGTCACTACACCTGCAGCACCTGTCACTCCCCTACACCTGTAATACGAGCACCTGTCACTACACCTGCAGCACCTGTCACTACACCTGCAGCACCTGTCACTACACCTGCAGCACCTGTCACTACACCTGCAGCACCTGTAATACACCTGCAGCACCTGCCACTACACCTGCAGCACCTGTCACTACAACTGCAGCACCTGTCACTACACCTGCAGCACCTGTCACTACACCTGAAGCACCTGTCACTACATCTGCAGCACCTGTCCTACACCTGCAGCACCTGTCACTAAACCTGCTGCATCTGTCACTACACCTGCAGCATCTGTCACTACACCTGCAGCACCTGTCACTAAACCTGCAGCACCTGTCAGTACATCTGCAGCACCTGTCACTACACTTGCAACACCTGTCACTAACCTGCAGCATCTGTCATTACACCTGCAACACCTGTCACTAAACCTGCTGCACCTGTCACTACACCTGCAGCACCTGTCACTACATCTGCAGCACCTGTCACTACACCTGCAGCACCTGTCACTACACCTGCAGCACCTGTCACTACACCTGCTGCATCTGTCACTACACCTGCTGCATCTGTCACTACACCTGCAGCACCTGTCACTACACCTGCAGCACCTGTCACTACACCTGCAGTACCTGTCAATACACCTGAAGCACCTGTCACTACACCTGCAGTACCTGTCACTACATCTGCAGCACCTGCCACTACACCTGCAGCACCTGCCACTACACCTGCAGCACCTGTCACTACACCTGCAGCACCTGTGACTACACCTGAAGCACCTGTCACTACACCTGCAGCACCTGTCACTACACCTGCAGCACCTGTCACTACACCTGCAGCACCTGTCACTTCACCTGCATCACCTGCCACTACACCTGCAGCACCTGTCACTACAACTGCAGCACCTGTCACTACACCTGCAGCACCTGTCACTACACCTGCAGCACCTGTAATACACCTGCAGCACCTGCCACTACACCTGCAGCACCTGTCACTACAACTGCAGCACCTGTCACTACACCTGCAGCACCTGTCACTACACCTGAAGCACCTGTCACTACATCTGCAGCACCTGTCACTACACCTGCAGCACCTGTCACTACACCTGCTGCATCTGTCACTACACCTGCAGCATCTGTCACTAAACCTGCAGCACCTGTCACTACATCTGCAGCACCTGTCACTACACCTGCAGCACCTGTCACTAAACCTGCAGCATCTGTCATTACACCTGCAACACCTGTCACTAAACCTGCTGCACCTGTCACTACACCTGCAGCACCTGTCACTACATCTGCAGCACCTGTCACTACACCTGCAGCACCTGTCACTACACCTGCAGCACCTGTCACTACACCTGCTGCATCTGTCACTACACCTGCTGCATCTGTCACTACACCTGCAGCACCTGTCACTACATCTGCAGCACCTGTCACTACACCTGCAGCACCTGTCACTAAACCTGCAGCATCTGTCATTACACCTGCAACACCTGTCACTAAACCTGCTGCACCTGTCACTACACCTGCAGCACCTGTCACTACATCTGCAACACCTGTCACTACACCTGCAGCACCTGTCACTACACCTGCAGCACCTGTCACTACACCTGCTGCATCTGTCACTACACCTGCTGCATCTGTCACTACACCTGCAGCACCTGTCACTACACCTGCAGCACCTGTCACTACACCTGCATCACCTGTCACTATACCTGCAGCACCTGTCACTAAACCTGCAGCACCTGTCACTACACCCGCTGCACCTGTCACTACACCTGCAGCACCTGTCACTACACTTGCAGCACCTGTCACTACTCCTGCCGCACCTGTCATTACACCTGTAACATCTGTCACTACACCTGCAGCACCTGTCACTACACCTGCAGCACCTGTCACTACACCTGCAGCACCTGTCACTAAACCTGCAGCACCTGTCACTACACCTGCTGCACCTGTCACTACACCTGTAGCACCTGTCACTACACCTGCAGCACCTGTCACTGCACCTGTCACTACACCTGCAGCACCTGTCACTACACCTGCAGCACCTGTCACTACACCTGCAGCACCTGCCACTACACCTGTGTTAACACTTCAAAGTGTTGATGACCTTCAATTGTTTCAGAAAATAATTTTTAAGACTAAAATATAGGAAGCAGCCATGATTACGTTAGTATTCCTTGCTGACTAGAATGACTGTTGGCAAGACAGGGATTGTTGACAAGATAGACAGTGTGTTGACAAGATAGACAGACTGCTGACAAGACTGTTAAACAGCAGTCAGCTACCTAGACAGATGAAACAGAGGTGTATGTGCACTGACCTGCAGGACACCCGTCCTCACAGTGTTCTCCAAATACACCAGGTGGACAGGTACACGTCCCGTTGACGGCATCACATGTTCCTCCATTCTGGCACTGGCACACCTGAGGTCAAAAGGTAGTGTCACTTGGAGTCAGTGTGGCGTGTGGGGGGGGGGGAATCTGGCACTGGGAACATAGAGGGTAAAAGGGCAATAATGTCACCAGAGGTCAACATGGTGCGGGAGAAAGTTAATAACAAGGTGTCCAAGAATTATTGAGATAAACACAAACATTACGGAGACTAACTGGCCATTATCATCATGTACGTCACAGATGAACGTCAGTAAGAGAGGGAATTAAGGTCAAGAGAGGCCTGAGCTTGCTACCATCTGCAGCTCATAAGACTGCCATCCCCACGAGCCCCTTTGAGGCGGGGTAGATGGCAGACCAGAGGCCTAGCTTCTCCCTACGAGCCCCGTGAGGGCGGGGAATGTGGCTAGGCCTGGGGACACTTGGTCCCAAAGATGAGGGGTACTGTACCTCCTCCCATGGGAGACTTAAGTCTCGAGACACTCCCCAGATAGGGAGCCAAGGCCGGGTCACCACTACATGGAAAAGACCCGGGCCGGGAGAATACCGGCGAATAAAAAAAAAAAAAGTAAGAGAGGAACCTGACTAACCTTGCCAGAACTGCTCTGCATAACTATGGACTATATTCATAACCAATGTCACTCATCTCTGTACAAACATTGTATCATGTGGAAATAAATCTTTGACGATGTTTCGGTCCGTCCGTGACCATTGTAAAATCAAGGTTACGTTAGGTGAGGTTCGTCAGGAAATAGGACAAGCGTTTCCTGACGCGGGTCTTAGTCGGATGACCCGCCGTTGGAGCTTGTGGTCATCTGACCGAAGCCTTTCCCTGGCTTACCGGTTCACTCCTTTAAAAATTATGGTCACTATTTGACAATACTCCGGGAAGGACCTAAACGTCGTCGTGAGGTTTCTCTCCTAAATACAAATTATTTTAGAATTGTTCAAGCAATTTAATTATGCCTTTTATTCATCTTCTTAACAAATTACAGTACTGAAACCTATTATTTACTTCCTAAATATAAATGATATTCTAGCCAAAGGCCACCGATATTTACAACCATTTAAAATGACATTTTTGCTTCATTCTATGTAACAAAGAAATTATGTGCTGCCTCGGGTGACCTGCCAATTTCTGGTGTAAGGGTCGTCCAGCGCCTCCTGGCGGCAACACCCGGAAATATGTACTTGCATATATCTTAAAATGCATACTCACCAGGACTAATAACACTGATAATCACAAGCAGTGACTAATAACACTGTGATAACCACAAGCAGTGACTAATAACACTGTGATAACCACAGGCAGTGACTAATAACACTGTGATAACCAAACCACAGAGTGACTAATAACACTGTGATAAACAAGCAGTGACTAATAACACTGTGATAACACAAGCAGTGACTAATAACACTGTGATAACCACAAGCAGTGACTAATACATGTGATAACCACAAGCAGTGATAATAACTGTGATAACACAGGCAGTGACTAATAACACTGTGATAACCAAGAGCAGTGACTAATAACACTGTGTAACCACTAGCAGTATATAACACTGTGATAACCACAGCGTGACTAATAAGACTGTGATAACAATGGCAGTGACTAATAGCACTGTGATAACCACGAGCGTGACTAATAACACTGTGTACCTAGGCATGGGACTAATACATGGTACCAAAGCAGTGACAGTAACATGTGATAACCACCAGCGTGACTAATACACTGGATAACCCAGCAGGACATAACACGTATAACCACAGCTGACTAATAAATGTGATAACCCAGGCAGGGGATAATAACCGTGATAAACACAACATGACTAAATAACACTGTGATAACCACAAGCAGTGACTAATAACACTGTGATAACAAAGGCATGACTATATACACTGATAACCACAGGCAGCTCAATAACCTGTATAACACAGCATGTGATAATAACACTGTGAAACCACAGCGTGCTAACCTGTGATAAACAAGGCAGTGACTATAAACTGTGAGAATACACAAGCAGTGACTAATACCTGTGAAACACAGGCAGTACTATACACTGTGATAACCACCACGGGACTAATAACACTGTGATACCAAAGCAGTGACTAAAACACTGTGATAACCAGCGTGACTATAACACTGTATAACCACAGCAGTGATAATAACATGTGATAACCACAAGCAGTGACTAATACACTGTGATAACAAGCGGACTAATAACACTGTGATAACCCCAAGCATGACTAAAACACTGTGATAACCACAGCATGACAATAGCACTGTGTAATAGCGTGACTAATAACACTGTGATAACCCACACAGTGACAATAACATGTGATAACACACAGTGACTAATACTTGATAACCACAAGCAGTGACTAATAACATGTATAACCAAAGGCAGTGATATTAAACACTGTGATAACACAACAGTGACTAATACATGTTGATATCCATAGCTGACTAAAACAGTAACCAATCATGACTATAACACTGTGATAACCACAACAGTGACTAATAACACGTGATAACCACAGCGTGACTAATAACCTGTGGATAACCACAAAGATAATAACACTGTGTACCAAGGAGTGACTAATAACACTGTGATACCACAGCAGTGACTAATAACACTGTGATAACCACAAGGCAGTGACTAATAACACTGTGATAACCACAGGCAGTGACTAATAACACTGTGATAACCCACAGCAGTGACTAATAACACTGTGATAACCACAAGCAGTGACTAATAACACTGTGATAACCACAAGCGTGACTAATAACACTGTGATAACCACAAGCAGTGACTAATAACACTGTGATAACCACAACAGTGACTAATAACACTGTGATAACCACAAGCAGTGACTAATAACACTGTGATAACCACAAGCAGTGACTAATAACACTGTGATAACCACAAGCAGTGACTAATAACACTGTGATAACCACAAGCAGTGACTAATAACACTGTGATAACCACAAGCAGTGACTAATAACACTGTGATAACCAAAAGCAGTGACTAATAACACTGTGATAACCACAAGCAGTGACTAATAACATGTGATAACCACAGCAGTGACTAATAACACTGTGATAACACAAGCAGTGACTAATAACACTGTGATAACACAAGCAGTGACTAATAACACTGTGATAACACAGCAGTGACTAATAACACTGTGATAACCCACAAGCAGTGACTAATAACACTGTGATAACCACAGCATGACTATAACACTGTGATAACCACAGCAGTGACTAATAACACTGTGATAACCACAAGCAGTGACTAATAACACTGTGATAACCACAAGCAGTGACTAATAACACTGTGATAACACAAGCAGTGACTAATAACACTGTGATAACCACAAGCAGTGAATAATAACACTGTGATAACACAAGCAGTGACTAATAACACTGTGATAACCACAAGCAGCGATAACACTGTGATAACCAAAGCAGTGACTAAACACTGTGATAACCACAAGCAGTGACTAATAACACTGTGATAACCACAAGCAGTGACTAATAACACTGTGATAACCACAAGCAGTGACTAATAACACTGTGATAACCACAAGCAGTGACTAATAACACTGTGATAACACAAGCAGTGACTAATAACACTGTGATAACAAAAGGGCAGTGACTAATAACACTGTGATAACCACAGCAGTGACTAATAACACTGTGATAATCACAAGCAGTGACTAATAACACTGTGATAACCACAGCAGTGACTAATAACACTGTGATAACCACAAGCAGTGACTAATAACATGTGATAACACAAGGCAGTGACTAATAACACTGTGATAACCACAAACAGTGACTAATAACACTGTGATAACACAAGCAGTGACTAATAACACTGTGATAACCACAGCAGTGACTAATAACACTGTGATAACCACAAGCAGTGACTAATAACACTGTGATAACCACAGCAGTGACTAATAACACTGTGATAACCACAAGCAGTGACTAATAACACTGTGTGAAACACAGGCAGTGACTAATAACACTGTGATAACCACAAGCAGTGACTAATAACACTGTGATAATCACAAGCAGTGACTAATAACACTGTGATAACCACAAGCAGTGACTAATAACACTGTGATAATCACAAGCAGTGACTAATAACACTGTGATAACCACAAGCAGTGACTAATAACACTGTGATAACCACAGGCAGTGACTAATAACACTGTGATAACCACAGGCAGTGACTAATAACACTGTGATAACAAAAGCAGTGACTAATAACACTGTGATAACACAAGCAGTGACTAATAACACTGTGATAACACAAGCAGTGACTAATAACACTGTGATAACCACAAGCAGTGGACTAATAACACTGTGATAACCACAGCAGTGACTAATAACACTGTGATAACCACAAGCAGTGACTAATAACACTGTGATAACCACAAGCAGTGACTAATAACACTGTGATAACCACAAGCAGTGACTAATAACACTGTGATAACACAAGCAGTGACTAATAACACTGTGATAACACAAGCAGTGACTAATAACACTGTGATAACCACAGCAGTGACTAATAACACTGTGATAACACAAGCAGTGACTAATAACACTGTGATAACCACAGGCAGTGACTAATAACACTGTGATAACCACAAGCAGTGACAAATAACACTGTGATAACCACAGGCAGTGACTAATAACACTGTGATAACCACAAGCAGTGACAAATAACACTGTGATAACCACAAGCAGTGACAAATAACACTGTGATAACCACAGGCAGTGACTAATAACACTGTGATAACCACAAGCAGTGACTAATAACACTGTGATAACCACAGGCAGTGACTAATAACACTGTGATAACCACAGGCAGTGACTAATAACACTGTGATAACCACAAGCAGTGACTAATAACACTGTGATAACCACAAGCAGTGACTAATAACACTGTGATAACCACAGCAGTGACTAATAACACTGTGATAACCACAAGCAGTGACTAATAACACTGTGATAACCACAAGCAGTGACTAATAACACTGTGATAACCACAAGCAGTGACTAATAACACTGTGATAACCACAGGCAGTGACTAATAACACTGTGATAACCACAAGCAGTGACTAATAACACTGTGATAACCACAGGCAGTGACTAATAACACTGTGATAACCACAGCAGTGACTAATAACACTGTGATAACCACAAGCAGTGACTAATAACACTGTGATAACCACAGGCAGTGACTAATAACACTGTGATAACCACAGCAGTGACTAATAACACTGTGATAACCACAGGCAGTGACTAATAACACTGTGATAACCACAAGCAGTGACTAATAACACTGTGATAACCACAAGCAGTGACTAATAACACTGTGATAACCACAGGCAGTGACTAATAACACTGTGATAACCACAGGCAGTGACTAATAACACTGTGATAACCACAAGCAGTGACTAATAACACTGTGATAACCACAAGCAGTGACTAATAACACTGTGATAACCACAAGCAGTGACTAATAACACTGTGATAACCACAAGCAGTGACTAATAACACTGTGATAACCACAGGCAGTGACTAATAACACACCACATTAAAAGAAACCTTTCGCTACGAGTGGTTTTATTTGGACTGATAATTAAGACACATGGGCAACAGTTGGGTATCTTTATTGATGAAACGCGTCGCCTACACAGTAGACTTCTTCAGACAAACAGAGGCAGCAGATGTAGTAGTGACATGATACTGATCTGTTGCACATGTGTTGGTCTTCAGCAGGTCTGCACCAGGAGTGTTCTTGTACTGATATCAAGCCTTCAAGGGAAGGTCACCTTGATGCTGCTGAAGGACTCTTGATCAAGAGGATCAAACTTAATTACCTTCCCATTTCCAAGGCGTTGATTATACCACTATGGGTTTAGCGCTGGTTCATCATCACAGAGGTAAGATACTGACGCACACACGGTATGTATACCCCGAGGCTTACCTGCTGGCATCCTGCTCCGTAGAATCCTTCTTGGCACTGTTGTTGGCACTTTGGGCCCCGGGCACCCGGCGGACACACGCATCCTTCCTCTGTGCACTCGCCGGGGCACTCAGTGCACTTTACTGTGCACCCTGGCCCTGCGTATCCTGCCGGACACCCTACGAAATGAAGACACCGTCAGTGATACATCAGAGTATGTATTTATTGGTAACAGATAAATTTGTACGATAAATACAGAGTATGGGAAATAGAGAGTGATGATGTATGATCCAAGGAAGGGAAGGATACCCGGAGAGGGTGTCGGGAGGTCAATGCCCCCGCGGCCCGGTTTGTGACCAGGCCTCGCGGTGGATCAGGGCCTGATTAACCAGGCTGTTACTGCTGCCAGCTGCATTTGCTTGGATCAAGAGGGAGATAAATGGTACAAAATATCGACACGATGGAAAAAAATAAACACCGAAGTAGCATAATGGTATCCTCTACTGACCTGAGACTTTGTGACATGATAAAGTCCACTGTGTGGGCGAAACCTTGTCAGTAAAGGCTGGCATTATACTTTATTTGTGTTTATTTTTCCTCTAGGATAAAGAGGACTTTACTAGAAGACTACAAGATGAGGTGAGGGAGTTTCTATGTGATGTGGGTCCGGAGTCTCTAACCTACAGCGTTGTATCTCTCAGTGTATTGTCTTAACTAGGTAATCAGATAAACAGAAAATTAGATATCTAGTTATTCAATCAATTCAATTCAATTCAAGTTTATTCTCTATAATGGTTACAATGTGGGGTTTACAGGTTTTGGGTATTTGTGGTTTACATGTTATAAAATACTAATTACAGAGGGGGCCACTAGGACACCTAGCATGGCTAGGCATTTCCAGCAGACTTAGATTAATTCTTAACATTAAGTCCTTACAGATTATAGTATTAAGGCTATGTGACTACATCATTATTTTGAGTTTAGCAATGTGAATGCTTTTGTTTTGGCACAATACAAGGTGTCTATATTTGAGTAACATAGGGAAACTTATGACTAGTTAGGATTTATTATTTTAAGATTAAGATTAGTACTTCTGGGTTTTATAGTCAGTGGTGAGTGAGTGTAATTGTGAACCACCAGTGGTTATCATGTAGTTAGTTGTCGGTGGATCAGGAGATAAATGTTTTCTAACTGTAGTTTTGAAGTGATGAATGGTCTGCAGTTCTAGAGTTTTCAGGTAGGGTGTTCCAGATTTTAGGTCCTTTGAAATACATTGAATTTTTGTAAAGGTTTAGTCGAACACGGGAATTGTCATAGAGTGTTTGTGTTCGGTGTTATGCCTCTGATCCTGTACATCAAGAAACTGGGTTTAGTCAAGGTTAATATTGGAATTTAAGGTCCTTGTAGATATGATTGCACATAAGTAAGTGTGGATGTTCTGAACAGGGAGTAAGCTTAGATCTATGAAGAGTGGGGGGGGTTGTTGCCAGGGATGGGATTTAGTGATTATTCTTACTGCAGCTTTTTGTTGAGTTATTATTGGCTTTAGGTGTGTTGCTGCAGTTGAACCCCAAGCACAGATAGCATAGGTGAGGTATGGATATATAAGTGAATGTACGAAATGGTATATAATACCGACAAGATGAGAGTAAGACACATGTGCAACATCTGGGTATCTTTATTGTAGACGTTTCGCCATCCAGTGGCTTTATCAATACAAATTCTAGGACATAACTTGAAGACAGTAGAACTATGTACAGAAGATGAGGTAATCAGTGCCTCAACCTAGGAGTAGGTGCGAACAGCACCATAGTCGTGGAGATTCTGAAGCAGAAGAAAGAATCCTGGCGCTTATATAGTAACGTCAGGTGTAGAACAGGGCATATTCACTGTAGGCGGGATTCCACCAGTGGAAGTAGGTCCTTCCCAAAAGATGGTTAGTTGTAAGTTATAGATGTCGTAGTCGTGAAGGTTATGTACATGTCCTCAGAATTAAGATTCCATGATGTTGCAGTGTCTGACAAGTTGTGTACGAAATGGTATAAATACCGACAAGATGAGAGTAAGACAATGTGCAACATCTGGGTATCTTTATTGTAGAGTTTCGCCATCCATGGCTTTATCATTACAAATTCTAGGACATAACTTGAAGACAGTAGAACTATGTACAGAAGTGCCAGGATTCTTTCTTCTGCTTCAGAATCTCCACGACTATGGTGCTCTTCGCACCTACTCCTAGGTTGAGGGACTGATTACCTCATCTTCTGTACATAGTTCTACTGTCTTCAAGTTATGTCCTAGAATTTGTATTGATAAAGCCACTGGATGGCGAAACGTCTACAATAAAGATACCCAGATGTTGCACATGTGTCTTACTCTCATATAAGTGAATGGTATAGTGTGAGAAGGGCAGTTTGCGGCATGTAGTATCGTATCTTGGAGAGGATCCCAACCATTTTGGATACTTTTTTTGTTATATGTTGGATATGGGTGCTGAAATTTAGGTTGTTGTCGAGGTATAGGCCAAGGAATTTGCCCTCATTATGTCTGGCAATTAGAGTGTTGTCGATCTTAATGTTAAATTGCGCAACACCTGCTCTGCTACCAAACATAATATAGTAGGTTTTGCCAGTGTTAAGTGTAAGTTTATTGGCTGTCATCCAAGTCGATATTTTGAGCAGCTCCTTGTTAACAATGGTGTTGAGGGTGGCAAGATTAGGGTGGAAGATGACATAAGTCGTGTCGTCAGCAAAGAGAATGGGTTTCAGGTGTTGGGATATGTTTGGAAGATCATTGATGTAAATGAGGAAGAGCAGGGGACCAAGGACACTTCCCTGCGGAACTCCAGTATCAAGTGGCCGTATTGATGAGGCTGTGTCTTTAATGGTGACATACTGATACCTATTAGAAAGGTAGGATTTAAAATATGCAAGCGCATGGCCTCTTATACCATAGTGGTCAAGTTTGTGGAGTAGGATGCCGTGGTCTACTGTGTCAAACGCTTTTCTTAGGTCAATAAAAATTCCTAGCGGATATTCCTTTTTTTCCAATGCTGTGTAAAGCAGGTCTAGCATTTTTATAATTGCATCATTAGTGCTTTTATTTTTCCTGAATCCAAATTGGCAGGGTTTGAGTATGTTTTGTGACGTTATAAATGAATATAGTCTCCTGTGCACGAGTTTTTCGAAGATTTTGGATAGCAATGGTAAGTTTGATATTGGCCTATAGTTGTTTACGTCTGTAGGGTCACCACCTTTATGTATTGGTGTAACCCTTGCTGTCTTGAGTAGTGTCGGGAAAGTGCTAGTTTCTAGTGACTTGTTAAAAAGTAATGTAATAGCATGCGAAAGGACATGAGCCGCTCGCTTGTACAATAATGGTGGGAGTGAGACAGATTCCTCGAGTTATTGTTATTAACTAGTTATAAAGTTATTCTAGGACTGGGCTTACAAGCGTGTGTGTGTGTGTGTGTGTACTCACCTATTTGTGGTTGCAGGGGTCGAGTCACAGCTCCTGGCCCCGCCTCTTCGCTGATTGCTACTAGGTCCTCTCTCTCCCTGCCCCATGAGCTCTATCATACCTCGCCTTAAAACTGTGTATGGTTCCCGCCTCCACTACGTCACTTTCTAGGCTATTCCACGGCCTGACTACTCTATGACTGAAGAAATACTTCCTAACATCCCTTTGATTCATCTGAGTCTTCAACTTCCAATTGTGACCTTTTGTGTCTGTGTCCCTTCTCTGGAACATCCCGTCTTTGTCCACCTTGTCTATTCTGCGCAGTATTTTATATGTCGTTATCATGTCTCCCCTGACCCTCCTGTCCTCCAGTGTCGTCAGGCCGATTTCCCTCAACCTTTCTTCATAGGACAATCCCCGTAGCTCTGGGACTAGTCTTGTTGCAAACCTTTGCACTTTCTCTAATTTCTTGACGTGCTTGACTAGGTGTGGATTCCAAACTGGTGCTGCATACTCCAGTATGGGCCTGACGTAGATGGTGTACAGAGTCTTAAACGAATCCTTACTGAGGTATCGGAACGCTATCCGTAGGTTTGCCAGGCGCCCGTATGCTGCAGCAGTTATCTGATTGATGTGCGCCTCAGGAGATATGCTCGGTGTTATACTCACCCCCAGATCTTTTTCCTTGAGTGAGGTTTGCAGTCTTTGGCCATCTAAACTATATTGTGTCTGCGGTCTTCTTTGCCCTTCCCCAATCTTCATGTGTGTGTGTGTGTGTGTGTGTGTGTGTGTGTGTGTGTGTGTGTGTGTGTGTGTGTGTGTGTGTGTGTGTGTGCGTGCTTGTACGTACGTATTCACCTTGTTATGGTTTACAGTGGTTGAATTTCATCCGGTAGCGTCTTAATACGCACCGATGGAAACAAATGTATTACCGAAAGACAGGAGGAACACTGCAGAAGGTCTACTGGCCCCATACTAGGCACATCCTTCTCAAACCTACTAAGAAAAATATTTCCCAAGGATTACTGGAGGGACTGAATGAGGAGATACACGATGGGATATATAAGGAAATACCTGATGATATATACTGGGGAATACTTAATGGGATCTACAAACCAAAGAGGTTAGCAACAAGAACTGAGAAGTGTGGCTACTCACTCTGTACCAACGTTGTGACGTTGGTGGAGTCTTCAGTGACTGTGAACAGGTTGTCGTCAAAGTGCTCTTCCTCCGTCGACGACACATCTTTCTCCGTCGATGACACGTCTTTCTCCGTCGGTGACACGTCTTCCCCCGTCGACGACACCTCCCCTTCCCCCGTCGACGACACATCTTCCCTCGTCGGCAAATCTTGTCCCACCTTCGACATTTCTTTCTCCACCTTGGTGTCCTCCTCCTCGTCCACGCCTTCTCTGCTTTGATTTACTTTCACAAAACGCTCGTCAGTCTCCCTGGGAGGCATCTTGGAAGGCCTCTTAGGAAGCCTGTGGTCTGGGGCCGTCCAAGCCTCCACCACGGTGACATTAGTCTTCTCAAGCGTCCACTGAGTCTTACCTTCGTTGTCTCCTCTTGAGGGACCTCCAGTTTCTACTGACAAGTTATGCTTTGCATTCCAGTGTTCTGTTTGTTTTGGTTTCCATTTATCTTCTCCTCCCACACCATTTCGTCTTTCTCCAACTTCTCGCCCTTTTCCTCCTCCTCGTACTCCCGGCCATTCTTCACCTATCTTCCTCCACCTTTCCTCAATTGTTAAATTCTTCTCGTGTGTCGTCCATGCACCGTCTTCCTTGGGTCCCTCAAAGCTGTCGTTGCCCCAGCCTCGCCTATCTTCACCCTCTTTTCTTATCTCTCCTCCTCCAGTACTCCCTATGTCGGTCTCCATAGTTTTGAGGTGGATGTCGGAGCGGTCAGAGGCGGCGACGGGACGCTGACCGTTCAAGGGTCTGGGAGCAACTGAATGGGGGAAAAGTAGAACATACATTAACAAGACGAACTGAAGTGTGTTTATAAATCCGACTAACTTCATAACTTAACTGGTTTATTAAGCTGAAAGCCTATCGACTACAAGAGTGCTATGGTTGAAGGGCAAAGGCAGAGGTAGCCCAAGTCTGGTTAATGCTGCCGACGCCACAACAAACATAACAATAGATCCCACAAACGAAAGTATAAATGATATGATACAAACACAAGATGACGGATAGGACCGAGGTTATTCTTCAATCCTATGCAATGGGATTACATTACCTGCTATCACTTCTCAGTACCCAACAACGAGGGTCGTAATAGCCGCGTCATCTGCACACCACCGTACAAGGACACTCGAATCACTGAATTGATACTGTAGTTTATTTTTGACACCCAATTTGTTTTCTTTTGACCTATCATTTTATGCTGTCAGTCAGCCGTAGTTAGTTCCACGTTGTGGCCAACCACAGCCACTAAAGGTCGTGACTTGTTATCTTTTTGATAATTTGCATTGCTGTAGGTTATTTTCTTGGCCAGTTTAATACCTCAGCTCAACAGCCAGGACGAGGAAAGCATAAGATAGCGAATAATGTAACAACACAGGTGCCGCTGACACCACAGAACACAGGTGCCGTCACCGACACCACAGAATACAGGTGCCGTCACGGACACCACAGAATACAGGTGCCGTCACGGACACCACAGAATGCAGGTGCCGTCACGGACACCACAGAATACAGGTGCCGTCACCGACACCACAAAACAGGTGCCGTCACGGCACCACAGAATGCAGTGCCGTCACGGAACACACAGAATACAGTGCCGTCCACCGAAAACCACAGAACACAGTGCCGTCACGGACACCACAGAAAAAACAGGTGCCGTCACCGACACCACGAGAACACAGGTGCCGTCACGACCACGACAGAATACAGTGCCGTCACGGACACCACAGAATGCAGGTGCCGTCACGGACACCACAGAATACAGGTGGGCGGCACCGACACCCATGAACACAGGTGCCGTCACGGACACACAGAACACAGGTGCCGTCACCGAACCACAGACACAGGTTGCGTCACCGACACCACAGAACACAGTGCCGTCACCGACACCACAGAACACAGGTGCCGTCACCGACACCACAGAACACAGGTGGGCCCTCACGAACCAAGAACACAGGTGCCGCACCGACACCACAGAACACAGGTGCCGTCACCGACACCAAAGAACACAGGTGCCGTCACTGACACCACAGGGAAAAGGTGCCGGGCACCGACACCACAGAACACAGGTGCCGTCACCGACACCACAGAACACAGGTGCCGTCACCGACACCACAGAACACAGGTGCCGTCACCGACACCACAGAACACAGGTGCCGTCACGGACACCACAGAACACAGGTGCCGTCACCGACACCACAGAACACAGGTGCCGTCACCGACACCACAGAACACATGGTGCCGTCACCGAACACACAGAACACAGGTGCCGTCACCGACACCACAGAACACAGGTGCCGTCACCGACACCACAGAACACAGGTGCCGTCACCGACACCACAGAACACAGGTGCCGTCCCGACACCACAGACACACAGGGGGGCCGTCACCGACACCACAGAACACAGGTTTCCGTCACCGACACCACAGAACACAGGTGCCGTCACCGACACCACAGAACACAGGTGCCGTCACCGACACCACAGAACACAGGTGGTCAACCTCCATCGTGCACTCTTAAGTATCCACGAAAAACGTTCTTCGGGACCCGGATTCTTAACATAAAAAACATGAGGTGTGATTAAAGGTCATGTAGGTATAGTGTAGAAAAGAGACAATATATTTCGGTCTTCATCTGATACCATCCTCGGCAAGATTTGAGTAAGGGGTCGGAATATGTAGTTTGAGAAGGGGAACAGATTGTGTAGTTACTATGGGAAGAGGGGAAGTGTTGTGTGGCGAGGAAGACGGGAAGTGTTGTGTAGCGAGGAAGACGGGAAGTGTTGTGTGGCGAGGAAGACGGGAAGTGTTGTGTGGCGAGGAAGAGGGGAAGTGTTGTGTGGCGAGGAAGACGGGAAGTGTTGTGTGGCGAGGAAGAGGGGAAGTGTTGTGTGGCGAGGAAGACGGGAAGTGTTGTGTGGCGAGGAAGGGGAAGTGTTGTGTGGCGAGGAAGACGGGAAGTGTTGTGTGGCGAGGAAGACGGGAAGTGTTGTGTGGCGAGGAAGACGGGAAGTGTTGTGTGGCGAGGAAGACGGGAAATGTTGTGTGGCGAGGGAAAAGGGGAAGTGTTGTGTGGGGAGGAAGACGGGAAGTGTTGTGTGGCGAGGAAGAGGGGAAAATTTTTGTGTGGCGAGGAAGACGGGAAGTGTTGTGTGGCGAGGAAGACGGGAAGTTTGTTGGGGGGAGGAAGACGGGAAGTGTTGTGTGGCGAGGAAGACGGGAAGTGTTTGTGGCGAGAAGACGGGAAGTGTTGTGTGGCGAGGAAGAGGGGAAGTGTTGTGTGGCGAGGAAGAGGGGAAGTGTTTTTGTGGCGAGGAAGAGGGGAAGTGTTGTGTGGCGAGGAAGAGGGGAAGTGTTGTGTGGCGAGGAGACGGGAAGTGGGTTTGTGTGGCGAGGAAGACGGGAAGTGTTGTGTGGCGAGGAAGACGGAAGTGATTGTGTGGCGAGGAAGAGGGAAAGTGTTGTGTGGCGAGGAAAGAGTGGGAAGTGTTGTGTGGCGAGGAAGACGGGAAGTGTTGTGTGGCGAGAAGATCGGAAGTGTTGTGTGGCGGGAGGAAGAACGGAAGTGTTGTGTGGCGAGGAAGAGGGGAAGTGTTGTGTGGCGTGGAAGACGGGAAGGTTGTGTGGCGAGGAGACGGGAAGTGATGTGTGGCGAGGAAGACGGAATTGTTGTGTGCGAGAAGAGGGGAAGTGTTGTGTGGCGAGGGCGGCAACACTCACCTACACAGCGGGTGTCGTCAACAAGGAGGTAGCCCGGGCGGCAGGAGCAGGTGAAGGAACCCTGGGTGTTCCTACAGTAGTGTTCACACCCACCACCGTCGTAGCTACACTCGTCTACATCTGTGGGTGAACACAAGAACACTGGAGCTGTACCTGCGTACAGCTGTGGGCTGTACACACTGCTGACCTTCCTTTGGTGCCAATTTAGTGAGAATAATGACTTTTTGAACAATAAGTAACTTATATAATTGTTTATGATACAAGTCAGCTCCTTGTCACCTGCTGTTCTCGGCATTATTCTCAATACATCATCAATACAACAATACACCATCAATACACCAATACACCATCAAAACATCAACATCAATCAAAATTCCATCAATTAATTCCATTATAATGGTATTAACTGATGAGTTGATACCATTATAATGGTATCAACTCATCAACACAAGAGGCAGTAATACCACGTACCCACCACGTACACCAGGTGCCTACCGGGTAAACCAGGTACCCACCGGGTACACCAAATACCCACTAGGTACACCAGTTACCCACCGGGTACCTACCAGGTACACCAAGTACCCACCAGTGCAGGAGAATCCGTTGGTACTCAGGGTGTAGCCCGAGCTGCAGGCACAGGTGTATCCTGCTGGTGTGTTGATACACTCCTGCTGGCACCTGTGTCCTCCCACCTGACACTCGTTGACGTCCTGCAAGTAACATCAACCACAGTGTCATAACATACAAACAGGGGTGTAAATGTATGTGTCAGATGATAGGTGTAAACAAGAAAAAGTCAGCTGACAGAGGTAAACAAATACAGCAGGTCAGCTGACAGAGGTAAACAAACAGAAGTCACCTGACAGAGGTAAAAAAAAAAGTCAACTGACATGTAAAAAAAAAAGAGGAGTCAGCTGACAGAGGTAAACAAACAAAAGTCAGCTGACAGAGGTAAACAAACAGAAGTCAGCTGACAGAGGTAAACAAACAGAAGTCAGCTGACAGAGGTAAACAAACAGAAGTCAGCTGACAGAGGTAAACAAACAGAAGTCAGCTGACAGAGGTACACAAACAGAAGTCAGCGGACAGAGGTAAACAAACAGAAGTGTCAGCTGACAGAGGTAAACCAACAGAAGTCAGCTGACAGAGGACACAAACAGAAAGTCAGCTGACAGAGGTCAACAAACAGAAGTCAGCTTGACAGATGTAAACAAACAGAAGTCAGCTGACAGAGGTAAACAAACAGAAGTCACCTGACAGAGGTACACAAACAGAAGTAGCTATGACAGAGGTAAACCAACAGAAGTCAGCCTGACAGAGGTACACAAACAGAAGTCAGCTGACAGAGTAAACAAACAGAATCAGCGACAGAGGTAAACCAACAGAAGTCAGCTGACAGAGGTACACAAACAGAAGTCAGCTGACAGAGTAAACAAACAGAAGTCAGCTGACAGAATAAAAAACAGAAGTCAGCTGACAGAGGTACACAAACATAAGTCAGCTGACAGAGGTAAACAAACAGAAGTCAGCTGACAGAGGTAAACAAACAGAATCATCTGACAGAGTTAAAACAAACAGAAGATCAGCTGACAAGAGGTAAACAAACAGAAGTCAGCTGAACAGAGGTACACAAACAGAAGTCAGCTGACAGAGGTAAACAAACAGAAGTCAGCTGACAGAGGTAAACAAACAGAAGTCAGCTGACAGAGGTACACAAACAGAAGTCAGCTGACAGAGGTAAACAAACAGAAGTCAGCTGACAGAGTAAACAAACAGAAGTCCAGCTGACAGAGGGTAAACAAACAGAAGTCAGCTGACGGGAGAGGTAAACAAACGAAGTCAGCTTACAGAGGTACACAAACAAGTTTCAGCCTGACAGAGGTAAACAAACAGAAGTCAGCTGACAGAGGTAAACAAACAGAAGTCAGCTGACAGAGGTACACAAACAGAAGTCAGCTGACAGAGGTAAACAAACAGAAGTCAGCTGACAGAGGTAAACAAACAGAAGTCAGCTGACAGAGGTACACAAACAGAAGTCAGCTGACAGAGGTACACAAACAGAAGTCAGCTGACAGAGGTAAACAAACAAAAGTCAGCTGACGTTAAATACATTATATAAATTTAATGAACTTATTAAAATGGACAAAATAACATAAAATAACACTGATGGTGATTTTTATACAATTATCAGCTGATTCATGTAAACATCTGTTAGGTGACAGGGAGGGACCATCTGTTAGGTGACAGGGAGGGACCATCTGTTAGGTGACAGGGAGGGACCATCTGTTAGGTGACGGGGAGGGACCATCTGTTAGGTGACAGGGAGGGTCCATCTGTTAGGTGACAGGGAGGGACCATCTGTTAGGTGACGGGGAGGGACCATCTGTTAGGTGACAGGGAGGGACCATCTGTTAGGTGACAGGGAGGGACCATCTGTTAGGTGACGGGGAGGGACCATCTGTTAGGTGACAGGGAGGGACCATCTGTTAGGTGACAGGGAGGGACCATCTTTAGGGGTGTGAACGGGGAGGGACCATCTGTTAGGTGACAGGAGGGACCACTGTTTTTAGGACGGGGATGGACCATCTGTTAGGTGACAGGGAGGGACCAACTGTTAGGTGACGGGGAGGGACCATCTGTTAGGTGACGGGAGGACCATCTGTTAGGTGACAGGGAGGGACCATCTGTTAGGTGATAGGGAGGGACCATCTGTTAGGTGACGGGGAGGGACCATCTGTTAGGTGACAGGGAGGGACCATCTGTTTAGGTGACGGGGAGGGACATCTTTTTAGGTGACAGGGAGGGACATCTGTTAGTGACGGGGAGGGACCCATCTGTAAGGTGACGGGGAGGGACCATCTGTTAGGTGACTAGGAGGGACATCTGTTAGGTTGACAGGGAGGGACCATCTGTAAGGTGACGGGGAGGACCATCTGTTTAGTGACGGGAGGGACCCATCTGTTAGGTGACGGGGAGGACCATCGTTAGTTGACGGGGAGGGACCATCTGTTAGGTGACGGGGAGGGACCATCTGTTAGGTGACAGGGAGGGACCATCTGTTAGGTGACGGGGAGGGACCATCTGTTAGGTGACAGGGAGGGACCATCTGTTAGGTGACAGGGAGGGACCATCTGTTAGGTGACAGGGAGGGACCATCTGTTAGGTGACGGGGAGGGACCATCTGTTAGGTGACGGGGAGGGACCATCTGTTAGGTGACGGGGAGGGACCATCTGTTAGGTGACAGGGAGGGAACAATCTGTTGGTGAGGGGAGAGTTGTCCACTTTTAGGTGACAGGGAGGGACCATCTGTTAGGTGACGGGGAGGGACCATCTGTTAGGTGACAGGGAGGGACCATCTGTTAGGTGACGGGGAGGGACCATCTGCAGGTGACAGTGAGGGAACTCTGTTAGGTGACAGTGGAGGACCATCTGTTAGGTGACAGGGAGGGACCATCCTGTTAGGTTACGGGGAAGGGACCACTGTTAGGTGACAGGGAGGGACCAATCTGTTAGGTGACAGGGAGGACCATCTGTTAGGTGACGGGGAGGACCACTGTTAGGTGACGGGAGGGACCATCTGTTTATGTGACGGGATGGACCATCTGTTAGATACAGGGAGGGGACCATCTTTAGGTGACAGGGAGGGACTAGGGGTGATAAGGACACGTTAGATGACGGGGAGGGACCATCTGTTAGGTGACAGGGAGGGACCATCTGTTAGGTGACGGGGAGGACCATCTGTGTTTAGGTGACTGGAGGGACCATCTGTTTAGGTGACGGGAGAGACCATCTGTTAGGTGACAGGGAGGGACCATCTGTTAGGTGACAGGGAGGGACCATCTGTTAGGTGACAGGGAGGGACCATCTGTTAGGTGACGGGGAGGGACCATCTGTTAGGTGACGGGAGGACCGATCTGTCAGGTGACGGAGAGGGACCATCTGTTAGGTGACGGGAGGGACTCACTGTTAGGTGACGGGGAGAAAGGACCATCTGTTAGGTACGAGGGAGTGACCATCTTTAGGTGACAGGGAGGGACCATCTGTTAGTGACAGGGAGGGGCCATCTGTTAGTACAGGGATGGACCATCTGTAGGTCCGGGGAGGGACCATTCGTTAGGTGACGGGAGGAACCATCTTTAGGTAACGGGGAGGGACCATCTGTTGTGTAGGTGACGGGGAGAGGACCATCTGTTAGGTGCGGGATGGACCATCTGTTTAGTTGACAGGGTAAGGGACCTCTGGTTAGGTGACGCGGGAGGACCATCTGTTAGTGACAGGGAGGGAACCATCTGTTAGGTGACAGGGAGGGACCATCTGTTAGGTTGAGCAGGAGGACCATCTGTTAGGTGACAGGGAGGGACCATCTTTTTAGGTGACTGTGAGGGACCATCTGTTAGGTGACGGGAGGACCATCTGTTAGGTGAAGCAGGGAGGGGACCATCTGTTAGGTGACCGGGGGAAAGGGGCCATCTGTTAGGTGACAGGAGAGACCATCTGATATGTGATGGGAGGGACCATCTGTTAAGTGACCGGGGAGGGACCACCTGTTAGGTGACAGGGAAGGACCCATCTGTTGGTGAAGGGAGGGACCATCTGGTTAGGTGACAGGGAGGGACCATCTGATTAGGTGACAGGGAGGGACAATCTGTTTAGGTGATGGGGAGGGACCATCTGTTTAGTGACGGGAGGACCATCTGTTAGGTGACAGGGAGGGACAATCTGTTAGGTGACGAGAGGGACCATCTGTATAGGTACAGGAGGGACCATCCTGTTAGGTGATGGGAGGACCATCCTTAAATTGACGGGGAGGGACCACCTGTTAGTGACCAGGGAAGGACCATCTGTTAGGTGAATAGGGAGGGACCATCTGTAGGTGACAGGGGGGACCATCTGTTAGGTGACAGTGAGGGACCATCGTTAGGTGATGGAGGGACCATCTGTTAAGTGACGGGAAGGGAATCCATCTGTTAGGTTGACAGGGAATGGGACAATCTGTTAGGTGACAGAGAGGGACCATCTGTTAGGTGACAGGGAGGGACCATCTGTTAGGTGACAGGGAGGGACCATCTGTTAGGTAACAGTGAGGGACCATCTGTTAGGTGACGGGGAGGGACCATCTGTTGAGTGACGGGGAGGGACCATCTGTTAGGTAACAGTGAGGGACCATCTGTTAGGTGACAGGGAGGGACCATCTGTTAAGTGACGGGGAGGTACCATCTGTTAGGTGACTAGGGGAGGAACCATCTGTTGGTGACAGGGAGGGACCATCTGTTAGGTGAACAGGGATGGACCATCAATGTTAGGTACAGGGAGGGACCTATCTGTTAGGTGACAGGGAGATACCATTCTTTTAGGTGGATGGGATGGAACCATCGTTAAGTTACGGGGAGGGACCACCTGTTAGGTGACCAAGGGAAGGACCATTCTGTTTAGGTGACAGGGAGGACCATCTGTTTAGGTGACAGGGAGGGACCATCTGTTAGGTGACAGGGAGATACCATCTGTTAGGTGATGGGGAGGGACCATCTGTTAAGTGACGGGGAGGGACCACCTGTTAGGTGACAGGGAAGTGACCATCTTTTAGGTGACAGGAGGGACCACTGTTAGGTGACAGGGAGGCCATCTTTTAGGTGACAGGAGGGACCATCTGTTAGGTAACATTGAGGGCCATCGTTAGGTGACGGGGAGGGACCATCTGTTAAGTGACGGGGAGGGACGCAATCTGTTAGGTAACAGTGAGGGACCATTCTGTTAGTGACATGGAGGGACCATCCTGTTTAGGGACCAGGGAGGGACGCATCTTATAGTGACCAGGGAGGGACCATCTGTTAGGTGACAGGTAGAGACCATCTGTTTAGGTGACGGGGAGGACCATCAGTTAGTGACAGGGAGGACCATCGTTAGGTGACAGGAGGTACCATCTGTTAGGTGATGGGGAGGACCATCTGTTAAGTGACGGGGAGGACATCTGTTAAGTGACAGGGGAGGTACCCATCTGTTAGTTGACTGGGAGGTACCATCTGTTAGGTGACAGGGAGGGAACCATCTGTAGGTGACAGGGAGGGGACTAATCGTTATGTGACCAGGGAGGGACCATCTGTAGGTAACAGGAGGGACCATCTGTTTAGGTGACGGTGAGGGACCTTCTGTTAAGTGACGGAAGGGACCATCAGTTAGGTGCAGGGAGGGACCATCTTTTAGGTGACAGGGAGGGATCATCTGTTAGGTGAGAGGGAGGGACCATCTGTTAGGTGACGGGGATGGCCATCTGTTTTGGTGACAGGGAGGGACCAATCGTTAGGTGACGGGGAGGACCATCTGTTAGTGACAGGAGGCCCATCTGTTTAGGTGACAGGGAGGGTCCATGTGTTAGGTGACAGGGAGGGACCATCCTGGTTAGGTGACGGGGAGGGACCATCTGTTAGGGACAGGGAGGGACCAATCCTGTTAGTGACGGAAGACCATCTGTTAGGTGGACGGGAGGGACCCATCTGTTAGGTTCTGGGAATAGACCATCGTTAGTGACGGGAGGGACCATCTGTTAGGTGACGGGGAGGATCCACCGGGGGGGGCCATCTTTTATGTGACAGTGAGATGACCATCTGTTAGGTGACGGTGAGGGACCATCTGTTAGGGACAGGGAGGTACCATCTGTTAGGTGACGGGGTGAGGGACATTTGTTAGGTGACGGGGAGTGACCATCTGTTAGGTTACAAGGTGGGACCATCTGTTAGGTGACAGGGAGGGACCATCTTTTAGGTAACAGGGAGGGACCATCTGTTAGGTGACTGCGAGGTACCATCTTGTTTGGTGACATGGAGGACCATCTGTTAGGTACAGGAGCGACCATCTGGTTAGGTACAGGGAGGGACTACATCTGTTAGGTACGGGAGGGACCATCTGTTAGGTGATGGGGGAGGGACCATCTGTTAGGTGAAGGGGAGGGATTCATCTTTAGGTGACGTGGGAGGGACCTTCTGTTAGGTATACAGGGAGGACCATCTGTTAGTTGACGGGGGAGGGACCATCTTTGGTGACGAGGGGAGGGACCATCTGTTGTGACGGGGAATGGACGCATCTGTTAGGTAACGGGGAGCTACCATCTGTTAGGTGACGGGGGGAGGGACCATCTGTTAGGTGACGGGGGAGGGACCATCTGTTAGGTGACGGGAGGGCCATCCTTGGGTGACGGGGGAGTGACCATCTGTTAGGTGACGGGATGATCATCTGTTAGTGACGGGAGGGACCATCTGTTAGGTGACAGGGAGGGACCATCTGTTAGGTGACGGGGGAGGGACCATCTGTTAGGTGACAGGAAGGGACCATCTGTTAGGTGACGGGGGACGGACCATCTGTTAGGTGACTGGGGAGGGACCATCTGTTAGGTGACAGAGGAGTGACCATCTGCCAGGTGACGGGAGGGACCATCGTTAGGGGTTGGGGGGGGGACGGGGGAGGGACCATCTGTTAGGTGACAGGGGAGGGACCATCTGTTAGGTGACAGAGGAGGGACCATCTGCCAGGTGACGGGGGAGGGACCATCTGTTAGTGACGGTGGAGGGACCATCTGTTAGGTGACAGAGGAGGGACCATCTGCCAGGTGACGGGGGAGGGACCATCTGTTAGGTGACAGGGGAGGGACCATCTGTTAGGTGACAGAGGAGGGACCATCTGTCAGGTGACGGGGGAGGGACCATCTGTTAGGTGACGGTGGAGGACCCACCTTACACGTCTTGCCGTCGTCTTGAAGACGGTATCCAGGATGACAGGAGCATCTTGCCGCAGCTGCGGAGGCGTCGTGGTGACACAGGTGAGCGCAGCCTCCGTTGTTGGTCAGGCAAGTGTTGACTACCTCCACCAGCACCACCGCCTCTGCCCGCACCGCAAGGTGACAACCAGCAACACGTCAGTCATCACAACAACACATCAGTAACCGCATCAACACGTCAGTCATCACAACAACACGTCAGTCACCACATCAACACGTCATCCACCACACCTCACGTCAGTCACCACAGCAACACGTCAGCCACTAAACCTCACGTCAGTCACCGGAACAACATTTCAGTCACCACAGGAACACGTCACCCACCACACCTTCACTCAGTCACCACAGCAACACGTCAGTCATCACAGCAACACGTCAGCCACCACAGCAACACGTCAATCACTACAGCAACACGTCAATCCCCACAACAACACGTCAGTCACAACACCTCACGTCAGTCATCACAGGAACACGTCAGCCACCACACCTCACTTCAGTCACCACAGAAACACGTCAGTCACCACAACAACACGTCAGTCATCACAGCAACACGCCAGTCATCACAGCAACACGTCAGTCACCACACCTCACTTCAGTCACCACAGAAACACGTCAGTCACCACAACAACACGTCAGTCACAACACCTCACGTCAGTCACCACAGCAACACGTCAGTCATCACAGCAACACGTAGTCACTCACAGCAACACGGCAGCCACCACACCGTCACGTCAGTCCACCACAGCAACATCGTCAGCCCACCACACCTCACTTCAGTCCACCACACAACACGTCAGTCATCACAGCAACACGTTAGTCACCACAGCAAACCGTCCAGCCACCACACCTCAACGTCAGTCACCACAGCAACACTCAGCCAACCACACCTCACGTCAGTCACTCACAGGCACACCGTCCGTTCATCACAGCAACACGTTTAGTCACCACAGCAACACGTCAGCCACCACACCTCACGTCAGTCACCACAGCAACACGTCAGCCACCACACCTCACGTCAGTCACCACAGCAACACGTCAGCCACCACACCTCACGTCAGTCACCACAGCAACACGTCAGTCATCACAGCAACACGTTAGTCACCACAGCAACACGTCAGCCACCACACCTCACGTCAGTCACCACAGCAACACGTCAGCCACCACACCTCACGTCAGTCACCACAGCAACACGTCAGCCACCACACCTCACGTCAGTCACCACAGCAACACGTCAGCCACCACACCTCACGTCAGTCACCACAGCAACACGTCAGCCACCACACCTCACGTCAGTCACCACAGCAACACGTCAGCCACCACACCTCACGTCAGTCACCACAGCAACACGTCAGCCACCACACCTCACGTCAGTCACCAGGAATTATTCACACATGCTCTCATTCTTGCACAATCTTAGAGTCAGTGAGAAACTGCTGCACTTACTGTGTTAGGTAACAACAGTTAGTGAAGATCTGTCTACAACAGTGAGGATCTATCTACAACAGTGAGAATCTATCTACAACAGTGAAGATCTGTCTACAACAGTGAGAATCTATCTACAACAGTGAGAATCTATCTACAACAGTGAAGATCTGTCTACAACAGTGAAGATCTATCTACAACTACTGGGTGAGGACTGATGCTAGTGAAGAGCTCTTGATCAAAGGAATTGGAGCTGTCTCCCCTATCATTGGATCAAACCCTACTGCCTCCCAGTCTCCCAGGTGTTGCAACACCCATACAGGTTTAGCGCCTTCCCCACGAATGTAACAGTAATATTAGTAATCAACAGTCATACGTGACCCTATTTACGGCATACATCAGAGCTACCAGAGTATGCAGCACCAGCATGCAGCCCACACCCGTCACGTCCAGAAACTAGAGAAAACGTACAAGTTTGCAATAAGACTGACACCGATCGTAAGGGGAATGGAATACGAGAAGCTAAAGCAAGTAATAAGAACATAAGAACATAAGAACATAAGAAAGGAGGAACACTGCAGCAGGCCTATTGGCCCATACTAGGCAGGTCCTTTACAATTCATCCCACTAACAAAACATTTGACCAACCCAGTTTTCAATGCCACCTAAGAAATAAGCTCTGATGTGAAAGTCCCACTCAAATCCAACCCCTCCCACTCATGTACTTATCCAACCTAAATTTAAAACTACCCAAAGTCCCAGCCTCAATAACCCAACTAGGTAGACTGTTCCACTCATCTACTACCCTATTTCCAAACCAATACTTTCCTATGTCCTTCCTAAATCTAAACTTATCTAATTTAAATCCATTACTGCGGGTTCTCTCTTGGAGAGATATCCTCAAGACCCTGTTAATATCCCCTTTATTAATACCTATCTTCCACTTATACACTTCGATCAGGTCTCCCCTCATTCTTCGTCTAACAAGTGAATGTAACTTAAGAGTCTTCAATCTTTCTTCATAAGGAAGATTTCTAATGCATGTAAATTAATTTAGTCATCCTACGCTGAATGTTTTCTAACGAATTTATGTCCATTCTGTAATATGGAGACCAGAATTGAGCTGCATAATCTAGGTGAGGCCTTACTAATGATGTATAAAGCTGCAGTATGACCTCTGGACTTCTGTTGCTTACACTTCTTGATATAAATCCCAGTAATCTATTTGCCTTATTACGTACGCTTAGCATTGCTGTCTTGGTTTTTAAAGGGTTTCTGCTTACCATAACCCCCAAGTCCTTTTCGCATCTGTATGGCTAAGTTCTACATCATTTAACTTATAAGTACTAGGGGTTTTGGCACTCCCAAACTTCAGAACCTTGCATTTATCTACATTGAACTGCATCTGCGCTTTTCCCAACCAAGAATAGAGTTTGTTAAATCCTTCTGAAGTTCCATAACATCTACGCTTGAATCAATTACCTACGTATCTTTGTGTCATCGGCGAATTTGCCCCATATCACTAGTAATTCCCTCATCAAGATCTTGATATATATTATAACAACAACGGCCCAAGACTGATCCCTGGGAACGCCACTTGTTACAGATCCCCACTCGGATTTAACCCCATTTATAGACACTCTCTGCTTCCCGTCAGTGAGCCATGACTCGATCCACGGAAGCATTTTCCCCCAATGCCATGGCGCCACTTTCTTAAAAATCTAAAGGTGCGGAACCCTATCAAATGCCTTACTAAAATCTAAGTAAATAATATCAAATTCCCTTTATCATGGTCAACAGCCTCAAAAGCTTTACTGAAGAAAGTTAATAAATTAGTTAGACAAGACCGGCCTCTTGTGAATCCATGCTGAGTATCATTAATCAAGCTATGCTTATCGAGATGGCTTCTTATAATCTCAGCTATAATTGAATCTAGTAATTTGCCTACAATTGAGGTCAGGCTTATTGGGCGGTAATTTGACGGTAACGACTTGTCCCCTGTTTTAAAAATAGGAATTACATTAGCCATCTTCCACATATCAGACACTACACCTGCTTGAAGAGATAAATTAAAAATATTAGTTAATGGTTCACAGAGTTCCATTTTGCATTCCTTAAGAACCCTTGAAAAAACCTCATCAGGACCCGGTGACTTATTTTGCTTCAGTCGGTCTATCTGCTTCACAACCATTTCACTAGTGACTGTGATGTTACATAATTTATCTTCTTCTGGCCCACTATAAAAATTAATTACTGGAATATTGTTAGTGTCTTCCTGTGTAAAAACTGAGAGAAAATAATTATTAAAAATCGAGCACATTTCATTCTCTTTGTCAGTAAGGTGCCCATAGTTATTTTTAAGGGTACCTATCTTATCTCTGACTTTTGTTCTATAGACCTGGAAAAAACTTTGGGTTAGTTTTAGAATCCCTAGCAACTTTAATTTCATAGTCCCTTTTAGCTTTTCTTATCCCCTTTTTAATGTCCCTCTTAATATCAATATACTGATTCATAAGATGACCCTCGCCTCTTTTGATACGCCTATAAATTCCTTTCTTATGCCCTAGTAGATATTTCAGCCTATTATTCATCCATTTTGGGTCATTTCTATTTGATCTAATTTCTTTATATGGGATAAACGTTCTTTGAGCAGCATGTATTGTGTTCAGAAAACTGTCATATTGATAGCTCTCTTCGTTACCCCAGTCAACAGATGATAAGTGTTCTCTAAGCCCATCGTAATCTGCTAAGCGAAAATCTGGGACTGTTACTGAGTTATCCCTACTATCGTACTTCCATTCAATGCTAAATGTAATTGATTTGTGGTCGCTAGCACCCAGTTCCTCTGAAATTTCTAAATTATTAACAAGGGATTCATTGTTTGCCAGAACTAAGTCAAGCAGGTTATTACCCCTTGTAGGTTCTGTCACAAACTGCTTCAAAAAACAATCCTGAACTACTTCTAAGAAGTCTCATGATTCTAAATTCCCAGTCAAGAAATTCCAATCAATATGACTAAAGTTAAAGTCTCCTAGAATTACTACATTATCGTGATGACATTAAAGAAATGGACCTGGGAAGACACGATAACGACGTACACTATACATAGAGAGCAGAATAGACTGTAAGGTACACCATACACAGCAGAATAGACTGTAAGGTACACCATACACAGCAGAATAGACTGTAAGGTACACCATACACAGCAGAATAGACTGTAAGGTACACCATACACAGCAGAATAGACTGTAAGGTACACCATACACAGCAGGATAGACTGTAAGGTACACCATACACAGAGCAGGATAAACTATAAGGTACACCATACATAGAGCAGGATAGGGTGGATAGGGGGGACTGTTAGAGAGGATAGGGTGGACAAGAGGACTGTTAGAGAGGCAGTAAGTGTGAAGTTTGAGGCACAAAAGCAAACTGTCGAGCCACAGAAATATTTGGACATGTTCTGTCTGTCTCTGGTTGGTCAGAAAGTTGAACAGGAATGAAATGGCGTTGACAGACTTCGTATATGTGGAGTATACCTGGAGGGGGTTTACTCCAGGTATACAAAGTCTGTCTACGCAGCTTTAGGAACAGGCACGTTATAGATTACAAAGAAAGGTGTAGGTAAGCCAGACCTCCCTACCCAGGCAGTGACCAACCCACCATGCAACCTGGGCTAAGT